CACGCACATACGCGCACACACACACACACACACACATTTTACACTCACACAGGCAAAGGCGCGCTCACGAACACGAGCAAGTGCGCGCGCCCACGCGCACGCACACCCCTTGGGCAGGCCGTATCAGGCCCGCTTGACCTTATAAATGCAGGCTAACATGTGTGGGCACATGCCTGTGGGCACCCGCTGGCTTGCACAACGCTCACAGGCCAACAAGCCAACTCACTTGCACACGCAAACCGAACAAGAAAGGGTTACCTTTGTGGAGCATGCAGGCACGCATGCCAAAAGTGCTGCAGGTAAAAAAAAAAAAAAAACGCGGTCAAGTTCTTGAGCCCAAAAGATCATCAAACCGTCTTGGCGTTTTTGACCAGCAAAAACTGCACAAACTCTGTACCCCGACAATTTTGCTGCATGCTGCCGCCCTGTTTGGGAAGCAAACTGGACAAATACATGTGCGAAACAATCCACGTGCGTCGCTTTTCTTGGAGTGTGATCCAAAGTGATGGCAATTCTTCGTCATTTTTTAGTCATGGCACAAGATAGGGGTCACAAATGGCATGTAGCCTTGCTTGTCAGGATCTCGGCTGCGGCACTGGGAAGCTGGTGATGGCCCTGGTCCATGCATGTTCTGATTTTTAGACGTAGCACGCGCAGTGCGTTGCTTCATTTGTTCAAGGTGAACCTGGCAGCACTGCTGGGTTTCCGAGCGGCCGGCATCGAGCTGGAACCAGGGCGCTATCAGCGGGCTTGCCAGGGGCTCCAGGGTGAAAAGGCCGTTTTGCCACTTGCCCATGTCGTTTGCCAACGCTCGCCAGCTCTCATGGGCCCAGGCACTGCGGCAAAAGCGCTTCGGCTTGCGCAGGCTGGATCTTTGGTGGCAAGGTGTAGCATGTCGGCCAGCCTTTGTGGAGGCGCAACAAGGGACCATAGGCCGGTGCTGCGCGGATTTGGGCCGCCATGTGCAGTTGCAAAGCGTGTCTGCCTGCAGGGCAGTCAGCGCCCCCGAGCTTTATTTGTGCAAACTTTCTGGAGTACGACCTGTCAGATGCGGACGGGTGGGGGGGGGAGAGGGGAGTTGGGGGGCCTCGCGATGACCTCGAATGAATGACCTCTCGATGATGTGATCGGGCCATTCATACGATCTCTGAGAGCCGCTTGGCGGCGAACCAGGCGAGTTAGAACTGTCAAGCAACAAATTGATGTCATCACATTAGGTAGTACTTGTTGAAGGCTAGCTTGCCCCAAGAGAGAGTCTGCAGCGTTCAAGAGGGCAAGCGAAACACATGTGCCCTGCTGCCTGCCCCCCCCTCCCACCCCGGCGCACTATTCCCAGTTTCTTTGCAGGACATGGTTTGGGCCAATTCGGTGGTGTTTGGCGCCGAAATGATGGAGGCGATGCCAAGCGCGCCATTCCATTTCTCCGTCCTTGGCCTGGGACGTGACACGGCCATTCCCCATTGCTTTCGCACAGGCCGTTGCAGCGCAGGCGCGCAAGATGCGACCAGGCAGCTTGGTGGTGAGCCACAAGCTGCTTGGCGTTCTCCCGATTCACGCACACAAGGCTGCCTCACACGAGCCTGTCATGTTGTCATCGGCGTTGCTATCACCCCAAGGCTGCTGCCAGGTCCTGGCTTCCAGTTCTATCGCCACCCGGCAGCATGGCTCTCGCACAGACACGGCCTGCCCTTTGAAAGGCTCGGATGGGAATATATGAATAATATATGGACATATTGCATTGAAGCAAAGCGAATAAAAATCAGCGCTTTGGCGCTTGAGCGACTGCTAAGGTGAAGCCTCCCTGCGGGTTTCTTGGAGGCCTGAGGGCGGCGTCGTGTTTCAGGTCCAGAAAGTGCTTGGCGAAGACGGTGGAGGAGGCTCAACCTGACCAACGACCTGCAGCGTAAGTGATCTTATCACGTTTCAGTTTCGCGGGCAGCCTTGCAGCTTCAAGTCGGGGAAACTTGGAGAATGGCAGTGCAGGCTGCAAGTTCTGCCCAAGGGCAGTTTTGTACTGGCCGCTTCGGATGCGACCACTCTGCATTCATTAGGGGGGCTTCCATGTTCAGTGCGGATTGCTTCATTTCAAGCCCCCTGCTGCTCCAACCAAGTTGGAGCGGCAAATAGGCCAAAGAGTTCCCAATTGTTCGGACCCCTTGCTGCTGTAAACCGCATGCGTGCTACTGGTAGCTGGCATGAGCCAAGCTCAAAATGGGCTGCTACAATGCTGGCTTTAGTGGCCGTGTTTGATGCTTTTCCAGCCTCACTGACACCAGTACTGTGACCATGCCAGACGAGCCTAGCATAGAGCGTACACACACACACACACAAAGGACCCAAGGGCAACTTGCCAAAGGTTTTTGGTGAGAGTCGTAAAACTATCCACTCAGAGTCCCAGCTGGATGGTGGGCTTCGGGCTTCGCGCTGAATACCGCTGAGCCGGATTGGAGCAAAAGTGGGAGCAGCACTTGTCACCGCAATGATGTATCGGGGCTATTTAGCCACACCATGCGGGGAATGAGGCAGAGGCTGCTGTGCAACGGCCGCGAACGCAAGGATGGCAAGGAGACGCCAGCGACCCAGACTGAGCCGCCAATGATATGCAGATCCTTGAGTTTGGCAGCCCCCCCAGTTTGGCAGTGCCAAGCCCTGGCCATGGTCGCACGCAATCAAGTCAATCCAAGGCTAGCTGCAGCTGGCGTTGCTGCCAAAAGCAAGCTGATGCTCATGCTGGAGGCTTAGTATCAAGAGCTTCTGGGCATTCTTAAGAGGCAATGCCAACTGTGAGGTTGGCACCCGGCTACAGCATGCCGGCTGTTGACGTTCCAGCAGCTCCCCAAGATTTGCCGCAAGAGGCACCGGAGGCGGGCTTTTCTATATGGAACAAGGGATTCAAGCCACAACTTGCAGGAAGCTGCGGATGTTGAGCTTGAGGGCGACCTCCCAGGCGGCCATAGCTGTCAGCACCCAGCTACACATATGGTGTACCAGGTGATGCAGCGGAGCAGGCCCGTTGGCGCCACGCACAGGAAATCATGCCAGTTTGCCGCCAAGGGCAGGACGGTTGGACTCATGTGTCGTTGTCTCGCGGACTTGACTGGCACGTTGGACTTCCGCAGTTCCCCAAGTGCAACGTGCTCAGGCGACAGTGCCTATGGTGGTGGTCCGGCAGGGGCTTGGACTCTCAGTTGCTATTGTCCAGGAAGGAGTTTGCACCAGGGCTTGGCAAATATCAGGCGCAACCGCTACAAAGTCCGCGTGCGACAGGGCCTGGACAAGGCCGGGGTAAGGGTTGTTGATGCAAAACGTCAACAGACAGTGTCATGCCTTTGATGGTGGCCAGTGGGTGTGTCAGGCAAGCTTTGGCGAGTTGGCTGACTACTTGGTAGCACAGATGCTGCCTCCCGGCATTCCTGCGCAACTCGGCCTTCTTTTGGACATGAATCGTTGCTGTCCGCGTGCTTTCACACACTGGCATAGACCTTGGCCAATGGTGCAATACATGTGGGCCGTTGCACTTGCTGCATGTGGCCAGGGCTTTTTGGGACAGGTGTGAGCTGCGGCTCATCAGCAAGGGCAAGACCGTCTCGAGCCTGGACTTGCGAGCTTCGCGCAACCCAGTCTGAATCCCAGACCAGGGCCCGGCCTTTGGCCAAGGCAGCCAGAGAAGACCCATTGGGCGCGGCCGATGGCAAAGAGTTGTGGGGCACCAAAGCAGTGGATGAGTTGTGTGAAGCAACGTCGAATCCTTGACGCCAGTCTTCTTGTGCGCAGGTCTGTCATGCTGATGTTTCGAGAGGGCTTTCACCTTGCCTCTCCCTCAGTGGGCACTCAGATCCAACGGGACGCATGCAGCCAGTGGTAGCGCCTGGGAGCCACCATACCAGATACCAACCAGATTGCCACTGTGTTTGGATTGACTCCACGCCAGGCAGTGGAAGGTGATCGCTGGATGCAGGAGAAATCAGAGGAACTTTCGCAGGCTTCCTGCACTTCAGTCACAGGTAAACAAGCCGCTTTGAGTGGCGGGTGCTATTTGTGGATTGTACAGGCAGAGGCAAAGATTGCCTCCCTCTCGAAGCGAGCCTGTCGCTCAGTGCTTTTGTGGTGATGACCTTCGAGCCGACAAGCCGAAGGTAGAGGCCAACTTCTCCGATGCCGAAACTTCCTTGCAGCTTGCAGAGGCAGGGTCTTGCTTGGCTTGGGGAACTGGGGCAGGGACCTGCCAGGTCAGTGGCTTTGTTGAGACCCTGCTGCAAAGCGTGCGCCGCGCATTGTGTGAGTGAAACGGGCAAAGCGGCAAAGCTGTGCCAATCTGCAACGCTTCATTTGACAGTTGCTAGTTGAAAGCGAAGCGAGCATGGTTTCAAGGTTGACAGCGTGCGGCTAAATTCTACCAAGCTTCCGGCAATGCAAGAGCCTGCCCCTGAGCACGCTGGGCAACGAGGTGCGAGTCCGGCTTACCTTGCTATTTGGAGCATTTGTCACACCATCAGTCCACACAAGTTCACATGCCGGCTCACAGTTCTTAGTGACGGCCGCCGAGGCTGAGAGACCGCGCAGTCAAGGCGGAAGAGCGTGGCTATCTTAGCTTTGCGGAAGTGCGCGCGTGTGTCCAGGTTGCTTGTTGCGAGGCTTGCAGCAGCTGCGCAAGACCATTCGCTTCTGAAAAACGGGCAAAGCATGTGACACCTCTTCAGCAAATTCAAGCCGATAATGGCAGCCTGTTCAACCTGTGGCCAACTGTGGCCTTTGTGATGCACACCACCTGCCTGCTGATGCTCAAGTTTCACAGCTCTGGATGACATGCTGACGGCAAGGGACTCAGCCCTGACTCACACCTTGAATTTGGCAGCCTTAAGCTCGCAAAATTGCTGGGCCTGCTGGGATTGCAGGAGGACAGGCCTGCAAAGATACCAGGCCTCGCCAAGCTTTTGTTAGAATGATCACAAGGCCATGAAATTTTTGAACCTCCCGTGGGCACTGCCAGAAGCAAACTTGTCAGCTTTCGCAAGCGCCCCCGAGCGCCCGGGTGTACCAAGCACCTCGGCATGCGGAGCCATGAGCCAGCTGCTTCCACCTTGCAGCTGCAGCAGAGGCGAGCCCCGCTGTGCTCGGCTTCTGCCTTTCTAGTTTCTACCTCTGTTTTTTGAGAACGCAGGCTCGCCGCAGCGGCTTGGCCCTCTAGAGCTCCATGGTGACTGGGACAAAGTCCGGAGACTGGGCTGCCAGGTGTCCGGACAGATTTTGACTAGAGCTGAATGAAGATTTGCTTTGCCCGGCTTTGCCCTGCAGAATTGGAGCCTAGTTTGCCACCCTTTGGCCAACACTCTCACGTCAGAAGAATCGTTGATCTAAGGAATGGAGATCAAGATAGTGTATCACCCAAAGAGAAGATGCTGCTCCAGGTTATGGACTGCCTGCGCAGTCTGGCAAGTGCTAACATAGCACGAGGCTTGAATCTCTCGCGAAGAAGCAGGCAAACAAAATGCCAGAAACATTTGTCATGATTTGACCTCCTGTGACTGAGGGGTGGGGCTAGCAGCAGCACTGTGGGAGCGTCTTGTAGCTGTGTGCAGTTGCCGTGAGGACAGGCTGTCTGGCATTGATTTGCGGGGCACCTTCGACTTGGATGGGACTGGCATGGTCAGCACGGCTGTCCTGAGGCGGGGTGGGCCCAAAGTGCACAACTGTCTCGAGCACGGTCAAATCGAACATTTGAGCAGCCACGGCAAAGGTACCCATACCCCTGGAGAAAGCAAGGCACAGTTTTCGCCTGGTTTTGTGACACCAGGTCTGCCAAGTAGATGCCACAATTGCAGACCGGCAGAAAACCCGCCCTCGCCCCCAGCTCTTTTCTATTGCATATCTCTAGTACCTTTCTGATGGCACCACTCCTTGTTTATGCCCACGCGCCATTAGCAGCGCTGAGAAACGCTGCTTTCTGTGCCGTCAGTGCTTTGCGATTCCGCACGGGGTGGGATGATGGGGTGGGGTGGGATGGTAACTTGCGCCCAGTTTTGGCCACCTTCAATGATTGTTGGCGCGTTGCTCAAGCGCCCAGCGCCGCTAATGACTCATTCCAGTGAACAGCATGCAAAATTTAGAAAGGCGACCCTGTGGCTGGAATTAAACTTTTTACCTTTTACTCTGGCACCAATGTATGGATGCATCTGCCTTGGGCAACGCGGGCAGGACAAGCACACAAAAGAAGCTCAGCAGGTGCTTAAGCACTCAACCCAGAAAGCCCTACCAACTGGCAGCGAAGCAGTGGATGAGAGCATTGATCCATCAATGTACTTTAAGGTAGTATTGGAAGGACGGCCGCAGGAATCGCATGCACGAAGGGATGTGCTGAGCGAACATTTGGGGAGAATGTGGGGTGTTCAGCCAGGCGCTCGCTGGCCACCTTTGACCCACAAGTCTTTTCGGAGACTCAGGCAGCACGTATAAGACCGTGGTAGATGACAAGTGCAGTTACGACAGCATCAATCCTCAATCGCAGCTGCCGGAGCATGGTATCACTAGCATTTTTGGGTGCAGCGCTCAGACATCTGAGGATGAGTGTCTTGACTTGCTTCTCCGGCCCAGCTGCGCCAACGGAGAGCGCTCTGTGCCGTGGACGAATTGCCGGACGAACACGCTGCCAGATGTTTAGCAGTTTGCGACTTTTGTGGTTTGTGCAAACTGCCTGCGATTGCAAGCCTGGACGAGATCTCGTGATCAAACGATTCTGCTCTGAAGCCGACACAGCAAAAGTCGTAACCCAATAATTCTGGCTTGAGGGGAACTGAGGGCATGAGTGCTTTGGCAGCTTTCTTTGAGAGTGGCAACATGCGCCTTAGGGCCATGGCCAGCCGAGCACCGCCCAGGTGCACATCCTTGACGTTTTCGGGCCTTTCTGGCAGCCTTTCTGCCATCGACTGCAGCAGCTGCAGGCTTGGTGCTTCGTCCATGTCTTTTCGGACATGAGGTTGGTGCCCTTGCAACCTGGGGCAGAGTGAGACCGGGGGGGGGGGGCAGGTTGCAGCTTCTGTGTTTTGTTAACCTGAGGCTTGACGATCCAGAGTGCAAATGCGATTCAGAGCGGGGCTTTTTCTTCTAATGGTTCTTTTCAGCGGTCACTTGGTCGGCACCGGTACATCCTGGAGTTGCATCTCATGGCCTTTTTGTATCCTGCCACTTGCCGCAGGAGAAGGTTGCACAAACCAAGCGACAAGCACAGAAGTTGCAGCCTCAGCGAAGGTTGAGGCCCGTTGAGGCTGAGTGGGCTGGTGCTGGACAGACGCAAATCTTGCAAATTGGGCATGAAGCTTGCCGATTTGCTAGAAGCTTGCCGGTGTTTGCGAGTCTTTCCTCGGTCAGCCACCGTCTCCCTGCCGAGGCGCCAGGTGCAGTTGGCCCAGACGGCACAGGACACCACCGAGGAGCTGCGCGCGCAGCTTGAGATGGCGCGGTCGCTGGGCCGGCGTTGAGGATGATGTTGGGAAGCTTCTCTTTCCACTTTTTTTTTTTCTTTTTTAGCAAGGCACGAAGGTGAACAAAAAGCGGGGTGCTGCATGACGCCAAGGCAGTCCAGACGTTCAGGGGAGGCCGAGCCGGACAGGCCAGCTGGCAAGCCTGCTCACGCAAGCGCGAAGGGTGTTCTTCCGCCAAAAGGGAGGTGAGGGCCTGGCGTGGAAACAGCTGTCAGGCAGATGCTGGAGCTGAGGGGCCGGCTGCTGGAGTGCGAGCAGGAGAAGCTCCGGCTGGAGGAGCAGCTTGCCCAGGCAGGCTGCGCTTTTTTTCGGCGTTGACTGTGAGGTTCTTGAGAATGCATGCCAGCTTTTGCATCCAGCTTTCTGTGTGCAGTCAGGGTCCCACCCTTCTTGGTGGACCGGCAGAGGCCAGCGTTTGCGTGCTCATGAGCGCAGTGTGGAAAGGAGGCAAGGAGGCAGCTTTTGATGGGGGCCACTGGCTTGCATGAGAACCAAGGTTGTGCTGAGGTTTCAGCTAAATCCGAGCGTTTTTGTGCCAGAGGGGCAAGCATTGAGTTTCTCAATCAGGGCGTTTGGTGTGCGACTTGGAGATATAGTGGCACATAGACAAATCCACCTTCGACCGTTCTTTGCAGGTGACGGCGTTGCCAAAAGGGAGCCTTGGAAAAAGCATCGGCGGTAGCAAGGCTAGAACAGCATCAGACAGGATTGTTGGGTTCCGTGTTTGTTGAGCCAGCATGTTTTCAACCCACAGATTCACAGATGCGTGATTTGTGTAGGAATGTGCTCGGTGCCCTGAATAGAGGGCAAAGCACCTGCCAAGGAAGTCTTTCCAGACCGAACTTGGCAACACTGGCCTTCGACGAAAGCGCATCTTGATTGAATCAGGAAGCTCACTTTTTGGAATATGCAGCTTCATGCAGCTGGGTGGGTTGGGCCCAATCATTACCAGGTACGGCCTGGCGGGAAGAGAGTGATACCACCGAAGCCTGGTCGCACTTGGATCATGCGAAGACGAGGCCAAGCCTGGGGTAGGGGGTAAGCGCAGATACCCAGGAAAGAAACAAACGTCCTACGCAGGAAGACGTTGCCCCGCAGAAATGCCTCGCATCCAGCACCCAGGATCTGGCACAGCAGCTGCTGAAAGCCTCGGAGCAGAACCGCAAGACCTTGGAGGCGCATGTGCGATCTCCTTTTCAGGTGGGTGAAAGGGAAAGAGACGAAGGATCGTTACGGATCGTTTAAGTGAAATGATTTGGATTCCGTCCATTCGAGTGAGTCCGAATCCATGGGAGGCGGAGGTGCGCAAGGCCTTGGGCCGTTTGGAGCAGGCCTTGAGCCGGTCGGTCGGAGTTGGCTTAGGCGAGAGAAAAGGTTGGGCCTGGCCATCCTCAACTGATCAAGCTCATCCGGTCCCATTCTCTAAGGGAGAGAGACTTTGTTTCTGGTTTTAAGTTGCTTAGGGTTTAGGCTGCTCAGGGTCCAGAGGCTTTGGATTGGTGCTTGGTTCTGGTCGGACAGCTTGAGAGCAAGGTGCTTTGCACCGTGGCATGGCTTCCGTCGTTTTGGTCCTTTCGGTACAGTTGGCTTGGCAAGTCTGAAGCATGGGCGCGGTGAGTGCCAAGCCAGCAATGGGAGAGCCCAAGCGTGTCTACATCAATCATGGTGGTGGACCTTTGCCCTTGCTGCAGAAGCAGCCTTCTATCTCCAAGTTCCTCGGGAGCTATGCTGCATCACTGCCTCGGCCCTCAGCAGTGCTGGTTGTCACAGCTCACTGGGAGACAGATGCGCTGAAAGTCTCTGCTGGCAAATCGCATTCCCTGTACTTTGACTACGGCGGCTTTCCCAAGGCGGGTTTTTCGCTCGAGTTTCCTTCTCAGTCAAAAGCCAGGAGACTTACGAGTACACGTACCCAGCACCTGGAAGCCCAGAACTCGCAAATCGCATCATCGCTTTGCTGGCCAATAAAGGCTTAGAATGCTCTGCAGATGCGACGAGAGGCTGGGACCATGGAGTGTTTGTGCCGATGATGCTCATGTTCCCCGATGCATCCATCCCGATTGTCTCCCTGTCGCTCTATAGCAGTCAAGATGCAGCGGCGCACATCACAGCAGGGGAAGCTCTGCAGCCCTTGCGGGATGAAGGTGTATTGATTGTGGGATCTGGTGCGTCCTTTCACAACTTTAAGCACATGTTCGCACCTTGGTGGGCATTGGGTACCCAGGTTGAATCAACACTTTTCCAGGACCTTGGACTTTGCTCTCAAGGCCGCTTGTGCCCTTCAGGGCCGGGATGACGCTAGCCAAAAAGCTGGCCAGCGACATGCCAAGCTCTTTGACACATGGCTCGTGGACTCCGTGGATTCTGAGCTCAGCCCGGAGGTGGCAGCGCGTAGCGTTTGGAGGGAAGAGGGAACCATGTGCCACCTTCAGTCTGGCAAAGTACCGCAAAATCCAACGGAAGGGGGTATGGATGGAGGGATAGCACACAAAATGCATACCATGAAGCAAGAACACATTGTTCATTTTGTGCGAGCATCCTGCGGCGCGCAAGGAGCGCCGGCATTGGCCGCCTGGGCTTCCGCGCCCTCAGCCCGCGAGGCGCAGCCCGTTGGGGGGGCGGAGCACCTCATGCCGTTTTTCACGGTGCTGGGGGCGGTGCCGCCCCCAGATCTCAGAGAGAGAGAGGGGGCTTTTGATTCGAAGAGCGAGTGGCCAATCTGCCAGTTGCATAGCTGCAGTGCCAGTGAGAACCCGGCAACCCAACCCAGTGCTTTTAATTGTTCTTTGAGGCTGCCTTGCAATCGTTGCATTCCCGAGGCTGGCTGTGGACGTGGCCGCCCAGTCAACCGGGGCTCAAGCTTGGGCTCTTTCGTGATCAGTGAGTTCGAATTCTTGTAACATATTTGCTGAGTTTGCACCAAGTGAGTCCCAGAGGGACTTATATGCTTGGAGTTGCAGCTAGGTACCTCCAAAAACGCCGTGGTGAGATTTGTTGGGTGCAAACCCCAGCAGTGTCTGACAACTGCCGTTGCAAAATCACCTGAGATGTTTTTCCCCGCGATCGGGGAATATGTTGAGGCTCCTGCAAGATGCTAGGTTTACTTGACAACTACCTGCAACAACCTTCACAAAGTGCGGCAAACTGTTTCTGGAGAGCGGTGCTAGTGGCGAGTGGACAAGTTGATGCTTACAACCAAACGGGGAATGTATCTCAGGTGTTGTCCTCAACCACCTTCTCGATTGAAGCCGCTCGTCAGCCGCTTTGCGGGCATCGAAAAGCTGCTGCGCCGTCGCGAAGGATGTGCCCTCGCCAATCGGTAGCCTGGAAACCTCCACTCTCCTTGTGAGCCGTTTTCGAGCGCAAAGGTGGTAACTGGGGCAGAAGGTGGGAAAAATGGGGTTGGTATGGTTGGTTCATTTATAACTGATGTTACATCGGTGCGAGCTTGGGACAGGTGGTGAGAGCAAGGTGTTGTGGTTGCTGATGGTGCTTGAGGATGTGCTTCAGGGTGCTGTTTCGTGGCTCAAAGTGGTGTGGCGGTTGCTGCGCGCGTTTGTTTGGCGATGCAGCCAGTGTTCTGGCCAAGGGGTAGTTCGAATCCCAGCGCAATCATATTTTGCTGTTGCTTGCAAGTTTCCTGGGTCCAAAATAGATTCCGGATGCGCGCTGCAGGGTGGATTCGGAGCTCTTTCCGTTTTTGGTCTTGGCGTCGGATAGCCTTCCTGCAGCACTTTGGTCGCCTTCCCTTTGCGTGGCCCCCTGCGCTTCTGACAAAGAAGAAGACAAGACCAGCATGAAACATGCAGCTGCCACACGATGCAGGGTGGTCATTTGGGGGTTACCCTTCCATACAAAGCAATCCTTATGCTTGCCAAAAGGTTTGCTTGCCCAACCTGTTGGCATGGCGCAGGTCGAGCGGGAGAACCATCAGCTGCAGCAGGAGTTAGCAGCTGCGCAGACGGAGCTGACGCAAAGCGCCTTGGATGGCAAGCGCAGGGAGGAGAGCCAGGAGTGAGTCGGATGAAATGCGCGGCGGCTCCTCAAAGCAAGAGAAGCAAGAGCAACGTTTGAGCAATCGCCATGGCGGCATCGGTGTGGCAAAAGCAGCCAAGGCCGATCAGTCTCGGCAGCCCTCACGGCTGCCAAAGAGGAACTTGCAAAATGCCAGAGTGACAAGGACCCATGCCCAAAAGGGAAGTGGCAAGGCAAGGCAGGCGATTTCAAACAATTCCATGGTGCTGGCCCTTCACCGCGTGACACGTGAGCCACAATCAAAACCCGGAAAATTGGAGGGTAGTAAGGGACAATCCCAGCCATACATAGATGCGGCCGCCTTCTTAATGACCATTTTTGTACAAGGTTTTGATTATGACTCACGTTCCTTGCGTACAAGTTGCTTGCTCTATCGGTAGGTGACACGTGCCACTGACAGGAGGCGCAACTTGCCACGGCTGCTAGGGAGCGACAGGCAGGGCCTTGCCCGTGGCTGGGCGCAATCGAGCATTTTCATCGCCTTTCCCTTGCCCTGACGACTTTCAGCATGTAACGCATGCTAGAGTGTGTTCCGGTTGCTACACTTCGTTTTCAATATTGATTCGGGGGCTCTGTTCAGTGGCCTCTGCAGCCTTGCAGTTGTGCGAGACGTGCGAAAAAGTAAAGCGGCTTGCTGATGAGGAGGTACAGGAGGAGCTTGCACGACTCGAGGGTGCCTCTGCCACACAGCGCGAGGTGGGAACAGATTCGTGGTCAGTGCCAAGCCTGGTCAAGTATGGCAGGCAACATTTCACGCCCCTTGGCTTTCCACGAATCCTTGAGGCCTTCCAGCAACAGCAGCAACGCCTGCAAGAAGCCCTAGGGCAGACAGAGGACGCACACACGACACTGTCTGCTCCACGTGTGTATGTGTGCAGTCCATTAGAGGGAAACAAAAGAAAAAAAACAAGAAACAAAAAAAACAATAAAAACAGATCCGCCCCGTGCTCGAGCTGTTGGAGCCCTTGGCCATGTCAGGATCTCCGTGCAGCCTTGCAGCAGAGCTCGCTGGAGGCGGAGCTCCTTCGCCAGCAGCAGGGTGCTGCAAGCGCCAGGTGTGGAGCAGAGGGTAGGGGGGGGGCGGCGGGGGGTTCCCATGGCAAGGGTTGCAATTGCAAAGGTTCTTTGGCTTTGCGATTGCAGGCTTGCAGAGCTGGACGCCGAGTCAGAGAGGCGCCGGAGGAGCGAGGAGGCGGCAAAGGCAATGGAGGCCGGGGGTCTTGTCCCTTTGCGCCATGTATGGTCACAAACCGAAGTCTCTTGCCTCCAGGCTCGCGTGGTGCAATTGGAGGAGGAGGTCGTGGTTACTCGGGAGACGATGGCGGCTCGACAAGAAGTCAATACCGCCTGCCAAGTTCACATGGCAAGTCTGTGCGCGCCGAGATGTGTTCGCCAATGTGTCGCGATGCTTCTCACCCAATGTTTCCTCGTTTGCATCCTGGTTTTAGTGAAGGGCAAAGAGATGGGGTATGTCTCAAAAGGGGGAACCCACCTTTTGAAGATTTTATCAGGGAACCCGAAAAGGACAACACTCATTTTGCGGGTTTCCTTCTTGCAACCCTTGCGGTAACAGCAAAGCACTTTGTTCTGGTCAACCCGCCACTAGAAGCATGAACAGAGCTGAAAAAACACATGCCAAGAACAGCAAAGCCTATTTGCCAAATGTTGACAGTCCTGCTTGCCGCATCCAACAGCTGGCGCAGCTGCGCCGAACGATATGTTGTCAGCATGGATAGGACAAGTTCAGCGCCTCGCATGGGAGGGAGAAGGTGTGACGGGTTGCGCTGTGGGTGCGGTATGTCTGGAGGCCGCGCGTGAGAGGGAGGCAGTCGAGGCAGTGCATCACGCAGTCGCCCGGACAAGGGCAGAGGCAGAGGAGCGACTCGGCGCACCTTTCCGCGCAGCACTTTGCAACAGCTACACTTTTCTGGCCGTTGCCATGGTTTTAACAGCCATCGTTTTGGTAGTTGCGAGCTGGTTGGCAAGTTTCCATCGTGACACCTGGGCTCAGGCAAATGGGTGGGCACCTCGGCGGCCTGGAGGCGCAGCTGCAAGCTACAGCCACGAAGCTGCAGCAAGCGGAAGAAGACAAGGAGGAGAGCGCGAGGGTCGCATGCGCAGCCAAGCTTTGCGTGGGATGTGCAGGGCATTCGCAGGGCATCATGGGCTTGCTAGGAGCTGACAGGCTTGGTGGGCCAGGTGTCCACAGAGCTGAAGCAGCTGCAGCGAGACTTGAAAGGTAGAGAGCGGCCCGGCTGCACAGAGCTATTCACTTGCGCTGGATGGCTTGATGGCTTGACGTCGAAGCTTTCCGAGTCGTGTGTTGCAGCTCGCTTCACGCATGGCCCAGGGAGCAGGTCTTGGAAACTCGGCAGATGTCGAGCTCCCGGCTGGAGGAGCAGCGGCAGCAGTTGTGGCGGGCCTAGGGGATCGGGCCGCGAGCAAGCAGTTGCCAGAAGAGGTAAGCAATTTGCTGGACCTGGTGCCTTTCATACAACTTTTCTTTGCACCCAAGGCTGGAGCAGACAAGCCAGAGGAAAGAGTTAGCAGATCGATGCTTTCCTGCAACAGATTGGCAACATGTTTGATTCAATGGCGGGCTCTTGGGAGTTTCTGCATTGGTGATGCCATTGTCTTCTTGCAGCATGGCGACCTGGATTGAGGACATGAATTTCTATCAGGCAGGTCAACCAGTGCTCCAGCGACATCTGCCGCGTGGTCCATCATGACAGATTTTGGACTGCTGAGCAAGCCAGAAGCCGCTTCCCGCAGGTGACGTTATTCGATTGAAATTGGCTGCTCAGAAGCAGGGTGATAGCCAGCTCACAGCGGAATGGGGACAAGCTACCAATAGCACCAACTGAGAGTTGGCAAAGGCTCGCCAAAGGCAGAGCTGTGATATGTGGTGCCAAGGAGAAGGCGACTTTGGAGAAGCAGCTAGTGCAGCAATCTGCAGCAGCCAGGTTGCAGCAAACTTTATGTGTAGTAAGTGACTTGCGCCGTGTTCGGGGCATGTAGCCAGCGTGCCAAGGATGCCGCGCGCATCGGGCAGGAGAACAAGGCGCTGGAGGAGAAGGCCACAAACGGCAGCACCAGCCCGAGCCAATGCCTCACATGGCTCAGGTGGCAAAGGCCTCGCGCTGCGAAGCGGAGTTGCTACTTGGCCGAAGAAGGTGGTTTCTGAACGGCCGGCGGATTGGCAGATGAGCCTGATGAGCTGGACAGCGAATGAACTGCAAGTGGCGAGTGATCCGTCTTAGTGATCCGTCTTAGGAAGGCTGAGAATCAACGCCTGCAGCAGGAGCTGCAGTGGCAGCAGCATTGCCACCGGGAGAGCCAGAAGCAGTGCCTCATCGTTTTTCCGGTTTGTTTTTGTTTTTTTCTGCATTAGACATATTTTTGACATCCTGCTACCTTGACGCGCTGAATGGTTGGGCCCAGGCTTGAGGCTGCCAGGAAGGAAACGCAGGACAGCCTCGGACCGCTTCGGACCTTGGGACCGCTTCGGACTGCATTAATTCAGCTTCGTTTTGGAAGCGGGAGTCTGAACATCGCAACGTTACGGCTCTCGTGAGGCGCACCAGGCGGTGCAATCAGAGACAAAGGGCTTGGGTGCAAGAAATGGTGCTGGGCATTGCAACGAGGAATGAGCAGTTGGATGGCAGCTGGCAACAAGTAATTTTAGTTTCTTAGGAAAGCTTGCAGCGGCGCAACTTATCAAGATAGTTTGTTGACAGTTTTGACAGGAGTTTGCACTGGAGGTCTCACAGAGAGGCCGGGTTGGTGGCTTTGAGAAAGGTGGTCACTTGCAAGCCCTGCACGTCGGCCTATAGAGAAATGTTTTCTACAATTTTCTTCCGTTGAAAGTCAACTGCTTACAGACTCAGGGCTGGAGCCTTTGCACGATTCCCGTTCAGGCGGCCTGTCAGATCAGTCAGATCAGCTTGCAGACCTCTCCTGCACATTATTGCGATTAGAAGAACGATTGCTTCTTGTCTGCGCAGCATGGCTCACGTCGTCTTAGCATCCTGGTATGTGATTTGCCGTTTTGCATCCGCATCATGTTGTGTGGCGCTTGCAAGTGTATCGCGGTGCATGTGCCCAGGCGCCAAATTTCTGCGCCAAGGCACGGACCCCACGTTCGCAACTGGGTCAAGTGGGTCTCTTGCAGCCGTTGAGGCCTTCGTCCAGCTTTGTGCCTTCGTCAAACGGCGTTTTGGTGCGGGGCTCGGCTGTGCGCTGCTTGCATCGAAGAGCAAGACAGCGAGAGCGTGAGAGAGAGAGAGAGAGAGAGGTAGAGAGAGAGAGAGAGGAGAGGGAGAGTGAGAGTGGGAGTGAGAGAGAGAAAGAGAGAGGTAGAGAGAGGTAGAGAGAGAGAGAGAGTGAGAGTGAGAGTGGGAGTGAGAGAGAGAGTGAGAGTGAGAGAGAGAGAGAGAAAGAGAGAGGTAGAGACAGAGAGAGAGAGAGAGAGTGAGAGTGAGAGTGGGAGAGAGAAAGAGAGAGGTAGAGAGAGAGAGAGAGACAGAGAGAGGAGAGGGAGGGATAGAGAAAGAAGAGAGAGAGAGAGAGAGAGACAAAGAGAGAGGTAGAAAGAGAGAGGGAGAGAGAGGAGAGGGAGAGATAGAGAAAGAGAGAGAGAGAGAGTGAGAGTGAGAGAGAGAGAGAGACAAAGAGAGAGGTAGAAAGAGAGAGGGAGAGAGAGGAGAGGGAGAGATAGAGAAAGAAGAGAGAGAGAGAGAGAGAGAGAGAGAGTGAGTGAGTGAGTGAGTGAGTGAGTAAGAGTGAGAGAGAGAAAGAGAGAGGTAGAAAGAGAGAGGGAGAGAGAGGAGAGGGAGAGATAGAGAAAGAAGCGAGAGGGAGAGAGAGAGAGAGAGTGAGAGTGAGTGAGAGAGAGAGACAAAGAGAGAGGTTGCGTGCGGGAGAGAGGAGAGGGAGAGAAAGAGAAAGAAGAGAGAGAGAGAGAGAGAGAGAGAAAGAGAGAGGTAGAGAGAGAGAGAGGAGAGAGAGAGAGAGAGAGAGAGAGAGAGGAGAGGGAGGGATAGAGAAAGAAGAGAGAGAGAGAGAGAGAGAGACAAAGAGAGAGGTAGAAAGAGAGAGGGAGAGAGAGGAGAGGGAGAGATAGAGAAAGAAGAGAGAGAGAGAGAGAGAGAGAAAGAGAGAGGTAGAGAGAGAGAGAGAGAGAGAGGAGAGAGAGAGAGAGAGAAAACAGAGAGAAAAGAGAGAGAGAGAGAGAGAGAGAGAGAGAAAGAAAATGAGAGCGACATTTGCCCACCTGTCTGTTCAATCGGGGAATTTGCCGGCTACATGGCTATGCTCAGTGGTGAGATGCCTTTGCCTGCCAGGAGTTCATCGGAGCAGAGGCCGGAGTTTATGAGTGCTCCGCACTAATCGAGGGGCATGGCCTACGGCATAAAAAAGTCCAAACGCAAACAAACGGGGCCCGGCTGCTGTGTCTTGCTCACTTGAAGGCTGAGCTGAGGGCTTCCCAGACGCGGCTGGCGGAGACCAGCGCTGCCCTGGCAAAGGCGCTGGGCCAGCTGGAGGCAATGGAGGCCAAGGCGGCTTTGGCGACCGACCTGGCGACGGAGCTGCGGGAGGTGCAAGAGCAGTTGGCATCCTTGACGGCCGAGCACTCGGAGAAGAGCGAGCAGCTGAAGCGGAGGGAGGAGGAGCTGGCAGCAGCCAAGTCCGAGCTGGCATGCAAGGAGCCGGCTCCACTCGATCCGCTCCAAAAGGAGCTGGCGCTCGGCCCGCGGAAGGAAAGTACGGACGCCAAGCCAAGATGTATCAACTTTGAAGATGCAGACAACGTGCAAGGAGATCCCTCGGATGGCCATGCCATCGAGACGGAACGGGAGCAGCTCCACCGGGAGTTGGAATGCTTCGCGGAGGAGTTGCTGTCAACCCTGGAGGGGCTGGACAGTCGCCGGGCCGAGGCCTCGATGCGGAAGGGTTTGCCGGAGCAGAAGGCCGAGGTCGAGGCCACGAAGCAGGCGCTCGCGACTCTGCAGGGGCAGATCGCCACCTTCAGCGAGCACCTGCTGGACCACCGCCCTACAAACCGGCGCAAGAAGGCCAACGACCAAAAGGGCAGGGGCTCGGCCAATCATTCCGCCACGGCCTTCCATGTCGTGACACAAGAGCATAGCCAGCTTCAGATCGACCACGAACGACTACAGGAAGATCTGCAATCCCTGACGGAGAAAATGAGTGCAACACAGGCCGAGCTGGAGGATGCACTTGAAGCGCAGAAGCGCATCCAAGCTGAGAAGCAGGCGCTGGAAGCCAAGCTTGCGGAAAGCGAGTCAGCCCTGGTGGAGGCACAGAAGCAGCTAGAGCAAAAGGGACGGGAGGCAGCGCAGGCAATCGAAGCTGCCAGAGGGGAGACGGCACAAGAGAGGTCCGCCAGTGAAGGCCAGCGGAAGGCCTTGGAGGAGGAGAAGGCGGCCTTGTTGGAGAAGCTAAAGGGGATGGAGGTGCACGTCTCTGACTTAGGTGGTGAGAAGTCGGAGATGCTGGCAAAGCTGCAGAGCCTGAGCCTGCAGCTTTCAGAGGCCCAGACTCTGCGTGCAGAGGAGTGCCAGGAGAGTGAGCGAACCACCCAAGCGCTCACCCGCCTGTGTGACGAGATGTCCAGCTTCAGTGAGCAGCTGGCCGGTCAGTGGGCGGGTGTCAGCTTCGAGCCTGGCCACCACGAGAACCCGCACACGGCAAAAGAAGCACATGCCACGTGCCGTGCGCGCTGCAGCCAAGTGCAACAGCAACTGCAAGCCTGGGCCTCGCTGCGCAATCCAAAGAAGCAGGCGCGTCATGCGTGCTCCAGAGTAGTCCGTTGGCTGACGGGCATTTGTTTGAGATGGGCATCAAACAACTTATTAGGGATAAAACACACTTATCAGCAATAGAAAACTGTTCAGGGATCAAACAACAACTTCTTCTCATTCCGAAGGAAGGAAGGAAGGAAGGAAGGAAGGAAGGAAGGAAGGAAGGAAGGAAGGAAGGAAGGAAGGAAGGAAGGAAGGAAGGAAGGAAGGAGAAAGAAAGTAAAGGAAGGAAGGAGAAAGGAAATAAAGGAAGGAAGGAGAAAGGAAGTAAAGGAAAACAAACAGAAACATTTTGCGAGGTTCTCAATATCGGTTTCGGGAATCGGCGGATGCACCCTTTGTTGAATCATCACGTCTTCGATCAGCACTGGGGGCTGCCGCCCCCCAACCCCTCCCCCCCCTGATTGTTAGAATGCTTACAGAGAATCATCACTTCTTCGATCCTGATGCGGGGGGGCTGCCGGCTGATTTTAGAATGCTTACAGAGATTACCGCCGCCCCCCAACCCCCGCCAGGTTTTTTAGAATGTTTACAGAGATTAACGCGCCCTCTGTTGAATCATCACTTGTTCGAGTGTCATTGGGGGTGCCGCCCTCCCCAACCCCCCGCTGGTTTTTAGAATGTTTAATTACAGAGATACGCGCCCTTTGTTGAATTATCACTTCCTCGTTTGTTTTTCCTTTTTTTTCTTTTTTTAGTAAAAACAAAAAACAAAACAAACAATATATCCTTTTCTTCTTTCTTTCTGTCTGCCTCTGAGTCTCTCTTTTTATTTCTCAGTGCTGTGCCTGCCACGAAATGAAGCAGTTTCTTGATCCCTGACAAGTTTTTTTTGATCCTCTGACTTTTCATTTTTAATAGTAAATCTAAGATAATATTTTTTTGGACCTAGAATTTGTGTTTGATCTTCATGAATAAGTATTTTTGGATGCCTATTTTTTGATCCCTCACCCAATTTGTTTTGGCAGGGTATGGCTCGCTTGCTTGGCCCCTTCCAAGCCGTTGAGGCGACCAACAGCAGCGATGTCACAGCAAACGTGCGAAGTCCGTTGCCGATCGAACCATCTGGGAAGGACGTGCAAGACGATGCTCTTCAAGAAGAGCTCGCAAAGGAACGGGCACAGAGCATCTTGGCCGACATGTGGAGCGGCATTTTTTTGATAGTTGGCAAGCTGTGCAACTTTGTGCTGGGTAGGCCCTTGCTTTGCCATGCCCAGGTGCAGCGAAGCTGAAAGAACGGGATGCTAAGATCAAGGTGCGCCATTTGTAGATGTGTTGGAGTTCCCACAGTACCTGTGGGCACTTCTGGGTTTCGAATCAATAGGCTTTGTGAGGGGTAGCCTAAGGCTTTGCAGGAGCAGATGGAGGAGGTGAGCCATCAACTCAGCCAGGCGCGCTGTTCTGAAACTGAGGGATTAGGCCTTGATCCCAGTGCTGAGAATGTAAGTCTTGCAGCCGGCCATGCATTTGAACAGAAACCCATCCTTCATTCCAGATTGCAGACCCGTGGTTGCGGACATGTGTCCAGTTTGAGCAAGTTATGCTTGATGCCATCATCGTTGCAAGCGGCGACCAATGTATTTTGTGTCCTTCCGCGAGAGGCGCAGACAGACCTGGCGCAAGAGCAGCTGGACGCGGCAGATGCGCTGGTGGATGCAGGCGAGGACCTCACCGTCTTGGAGTGGGAGAGCGGTGCGCAGAACCGGCGCTTGGAGGCCATGGGTGGCGGGGGGTTTTGGCCTTGGGCTTTGCCAACTGATGCCATGTGCCGACCCAGGAAATGGCAAGACTGTTTTCCCTCATGGAACTCGAGGTGAAGACTGCATGGCAAGTCTGCTTGGCTTCGGGGAACAGATTGTTCATAGCTCTCCATTAGCAGAGCTTGAGCGGGAAAGGTGCCTGGCGGGTGTGGCAGTGGCTTGGACCCGTAAGGTGATTGCAGAGGCGTGTTTCAGTTATAGTCTATGAATGTGAAGTGTTGACCAGGCAGGCCGGAGGGAATGTAATTACATTTGCGATGATGTGCATCGATTCTGGGGTGGGAAGTTCCTTTTTTTTTTTCTCTCTTTTCTTTTTTTTCTTCTGCCCTGATCACACCTTTGCTTCAGGCTCGGCTCGCAGAGATGGAAGAGCTGTCCAAAAATGCTGAAGAGACAGTTGAGTCTCTCACGCAGGACTGCGCACATCAGCTGTTGCCTTGCTTTGATGACAAGAGTTTGCCCATTGGCTCACCCTCTGTCTTTTGCCACACCTACCTGTGCTATCGCAGATGGCCACCTGAGCCGCAGAAGGTGGCCACTCTCAGCCTTTGAAAGAGAAGTGGTGCTGTGTTCGTCCTGTGCTTGCTCGTCATCCCTGTCACCTTTCGGTGAGAGTTGCAGGAGCTGGCGCAGCTGAAAGCTGAAAGCAGCAGCAAGCTGGCAGAGAACGCTGCTCGGCACAGCTCAGGTCATTTAGGATAGCCCTCTCCCAATGTTGTATGACCGCCTGTGACTAGACAAGGAGAACAAGCGGAAAGAGGTAGAATACTTTCTGGAGGAGCTCTGACAGTGGCATGTGCAAGAAGATGTCCCCTTTCGCTTGCCAGGAAGCTGTTTATCATTTGGTTCCTTTGTCGGCTTGTTGGCTTGGCTATCTGGCAACTTGGCCACACAACGCGTAGGTTTCCTTTGCCATGCCCCTTGGGTGCCCCTTGGCATCCCATTCGAGTGTGCAGGACACCGCGCAGCAGCTGGCGCAGGCGCAGGCGGACGCTGATCAGCGCGCCCTGGATGCAGCCACTGCGCTGGCGGCAGCCAGCGAGGAGTCGGCGCGTGAGACGCCCGGCAGCCCCCAGAAAGGTGAGGTCTGGTCATGGGATGCGTTGAGCACTATGCATACTGAGCTCAGCTAAGTTGCAGATGCACGACAGCCCTGTATCCCTTCCTGCGATTTGCTACACTCCTTCATGAGTCTAGTCCTCCCTTTGGCATGGGCCCTGAGCCAGCACAGCAGATTACGTTGCACGTGACGCAGGTCAGGCGAAAAAACGCACAAAAAAAGCAACCAAGATCAACCGAGCAATTCAAGTAATGTGGAGCCTTTCTGAGCATTGAGGAAGGCGAGGGCGGAGCACGCGGAGGCGGAGGTGCGACGACTGCAGAATTTGCCGAGCCCTCAGTCGACGGCCCTTGAAAGGCCGACCAAAAGGAATATACGAACCCAGCCTTGGGCCTTCTTCACTATCGGCCCCCAGAGGGCCGGTGAGTTTGCTTATGTCTGATCGTTCGGCCTTTTAGAGGCTGTTCTTCAGAGCGCTAAGGCTCGAAGACTCCGATGCGAGCCCGCAGTTTGAGTCACAGTTTCTCCTGCCACAGGACCGAGCTTGAACTTGATTTTGATGGTGAGGTATCAAGGCTTGAAGAGCCCCAACACGGTCCCGGGTGCACTCACGACAGAAGCAGGGAGCTGCCTTTCTGGGAGGACCGCTTTTCACGTTCGCTTGGCCCAGCTGAAGACTCCGAAGGTGGCATATCCATGTGGCCAACGTGTCCCGGGGCCCAGACTTGTGCATCGCAGGCACCTTGCCTCCCAAAGCTGAGTAGGTGCGCTGCCGTTGGGTAGTTTTGGACGTCCTGCACGATAGGAGTTTCCATGGTCCCCCTTGACCAGATGGTTGCAGAGCGTGCTGGGCCTTTGCATAGCGAATTCGATCGGGCCCAGTTTGCCGTTTCAAGCAGAGCCTTGGGTCCTTATCCTGAGTCCCACCTCTATGCCAGTATGACACAGTATGCATCGCCTGCAAGGAGTTAGGGCTCGCTCACGTTCTGGCGCCAACGAAGCCTGTGGCGCTGGAAGCTAGGAGTCAGTCGCAAAATGCGCAAGATAAAACGCGACGCAGCAAGCATCATGGTGCAGTTGCCTTGCAAGCCAGTGCGCGGGCAGGGCTGGCTGAGGCAGGAGCATTCCTAGGCTTGTCTTCCATGCCCAGCCAGATCTGGGCCACCAACCGTGATGATACTTGTGCCGTTGACCCTATGTTTGAATTGCCCATTCGTAGTTTGCAGGCATGTTGTTGCATTTTTAGAAGCTGGATGTCAGCAAGCTGAGTTGGAACACTGAATATGCTGAACATTGAACTGAGTGAGTGATAACAATGCTGCAGCCTTTCAGCTCTTTTTGTTTGCAACATCCTTCCCAGTAATATAGCAATATTCGATGGCCCAACTGGCCGGGCTTGCCATCGCAACCTTCTCTGGCACCCTGGCATCAGCATTGGAGCTGGATTGCAGAATGCATTCGAAGATGACATCACAAATGGCTTGCTACCTTTTGGCTGGGCCCGCCCAGCCAGATAGCGTGCTTATTCAATGGTCGCGGTCAGGTTCAATATTTCCAGGATGCCTGGCATTGCGAGCTGACTTTCAGCAGCATTCCTTCACATCATCCAGCCTTTCCAGAAGTGAGCATAGCCAGGTTCTTAGACGTCAGGTGTGCCAGTCCTCAGCTTGTCGGCAAAGTCGAGCTGCACACCAGCTGCGCAAACATCCCCAATTCTCTTTGCCAGGCTCGTGCAGCACTTGCTCAGACTTGGTGCAGTTTGTCAAGCACGCGGGGCCCTAGTGGCTTGCCCTCCGACACTAACTGGCATCCGGCTGTGAGGTGGGAATCGCTTGGGAAATCTTCCCTCCCAGTCCGCTGCCTGCAATTGATGGTGCCATTGCCGCTTGGCTTGTGGAAATTTGGCATGGCTCGAACTTTCGATTTGTTGCTCCTCATTCCTGCTGTGCGAAGAGCCAAGACCTGCCTCCCCAGCAGCCATGTGAAGTGGGGCCCAGGAGCGGCCGAACAGGCTGGACATGAGCGGGAGACGTGGAATGGAGCTGTGGTTTGTTTCAGGTCTAAGGAACTCGCGAGCGTGGTCCGCTCGTGCTTATGTTTGCAGCTGTCAGGTGGAATCTGCTCTCGATGATGAGGACTCAGCCAATGCGTTGACTTCGGGAATGTCTGGTACCGACTTTTCAGTCATGGCCAATTTTCAACTCCCTGAAGACATGGATTAGGTTGTGGTTTGCTCCTGGGCAGTGGTGGACCTTTGAGCACAAAATTGGAGGATTGCGGGTTGGGCGAGGCTCATGCCAGCCTAAGTCGTTCCGAGAAGAGGGACTGCCGACAGCCACCCGGCTGGTTGAAATTGATGCCAGCTTGGCTGGACGTATTTTTGGACGGAAGTAAGGCCTCCAGGCCTGCTCACTGAGATTTGCAGGCCTGCAGCCGCTGATTTGGGCTGACCGAGGCTGCATGCCAAGCAGAGCAAGCGGGCATCGTGGCTGGGGCTGCCTGTGGCCTTCCTGCAGCAGATGGCTGTGTGTGGCCGCTGCGGGCTGTGCGAAGCCTTTAGCAAGGTGAGTGGTTGGGGAACGCGGGGCCTTGGGCCAGGGGTAGGCTCAGAATGGTGGGGGGGTGCGGGCCGTTGCCGGCTGGTGGGTGTGAATTGTGCGCCAGGTGAGTAGCCTCTGGCGACGGCTGAAGGCCGCAGTGCGCAAGGTGGCGGCAAAGTTGCGCCAGGTGAAGCGCAAGCTGTTTGGCTGCTTGGCTGGGGCTACGCATGCTCGGTCACGCACTCTGCTGCAGGCTGAGCTGCTCTGACCCGAGTGGGCTTGTTTGGCATGGCGGAATATTGAGCCCACTACGCCATGCTCTTTGCAATGGAGAAAGACCAAGGCCACGCAGAACATCAAGAGAAAAGCACGCCTATTCTACAACATCATAACGCCACAGATGTCAATGCTTTCCGTACGCAAATTACTGACCACTGGTACTTCAATAAAACGAGAACACAACGCAATATATTTGGAGGGACGCCTAGCAGCAATTTTCAGGTTCTGCCCTCTCCCGAAGCCAATATTTATGTTTATGATGTGTCTTTAGGCATGCTTGCTGCAGTGTGTTTCTCAGGCCTACTTTTGTCAGACAGAGGGAGCTGAATCAGTGCGCACAGAGACAGTAGTGCTACTACTCTTGGCACTCCGCAAGCTATCAACTTATGCTGTGAATGCTGTGAAAAGAGCTATCAAGTTATGCTCTGAAAGGGAATTCTTACGGTATATGTGAGAGACTCAACGGACACCCGTGGAAACGGAGAACATGTCCAATCGCAGAGTGAGCCCACCGGCTGTAGCGGGAGCCCATCATAATCATCATCATCATCAGCAGCAAGCAAGCAAACGAGGATGCTGCGGCCGCCCGCGGGTCCCACGCCAAGCTAGACAAACCTTAGGTTTTGCATTTTGCTGGTGTCCCTTTGAAGCGACTTGCATTTTGGTTTCCTTTGTCTTTGAATCATTACCGAACAATCACGTTTCAAACGAGTGCAATTACACCCCGCAAAGTGACTTCAACAGGTTGATGCTGGGATATTTTTGAGTGTCTGAGCATCAGGAATTCAAGTTTGCTCTGGTACCCTACGGCCCATGTCCCAAAACAAAGACGAGCCACTGCCAAACCCAAGCTGAAGTGGCACAAGCTGAGACAAATACAGATATACAAGACCTATGCAGGTTGCAACTTGAGGACTTTGAGCGCAAAATGCAGCCTGACAAGGATTTGTTGCGGAAACCACCCGTTCTAGGCTGCAGAGAGCCCCTTCACTCGCTTGACTAGCGTCGGCAGGCCCAGTTGAAGCCAAGGCTACAGCTACGCCTCGTCACGCGTGCGGTCGGCGATGGCACGGCGCTTCGACGGCTACTTCCCAGATGGTGCGACAAGTGCCCTGCAGACCGTGGCTCGTCGCAACATGTAGGCTCCTCCGAAGAACATTTTGTTGGGATCCGTGTGGTGGGGACATCCCTTCCTTGATGGAGGCATCTGATGTGAACCACACAGACGGAGAAAGCGGAGACATCGATGATGCCACGCACGAGAAGATGGTGGAGGCCAAGTGAGATTACTATGAGTAGGAACGGCAACCCGAGGTGATCATGCACAGCACCGCTAGCTTAGGCCTACATGCTTTTACTCGCGTGGTAGATTTACACACGTTTGGATTTGGGATCAAGCTAGCAATTTGATAATACTCCTATGGTTCTGACGAAACTTTGCTTCAAAGTACCATGCAACCGCATTCCGAGGTCACCAGGTTGTGGATTCCGTACTTCATGCTTTGCAGGAACTAGTCAGGCCGCCGTAGTATTCCTGTTTGAATCTCAAAATCCTTGCCATTTGGAACCTTGACTGAAACATGAATCAAATCAGGGAAACCAAACGCTAAAAAGGTCAGTTTTACATTGAGTACTTGGTGGGTCCTCGTTATATCCAAAGAGAAGGCGGGCTCCGTTTTTGACACTGGAGGCTTGGGAGAGGCGACAAGCCTGGGCTTTTTTACTATAAGGAATCCAAGTAAGGGACTTCATCATGAGCTCGTTCTAATTCGCCCGGTTGGGAATTTTCAGGTACGGGTTTGGAGGTATGGAGGGGGTAGACTGCACAAGGTGTATTGGCAGTATAGAGTCCGAAGCGCAGGATGCTTTACTCCAAGAACTGCAAAAGAAAAGTCCGGAGCAGATGGAGCAGCACTTGTCCCTCCTGCGCCTTGAGAAGACACGTTTCTTGTGGGCCTTGTGCTCCTGGCTGGAGCTGCGCGTGACCCTGCCACCAAAGGCAGCAGCGCCTGGAGGACACCGAGCAAAAGGATGAGGACAGCTCACTTCGGCATGTGTGAGGTCAATAAAATCATTCTTTGTTTGCATGCTCTTTCATCACCAGCCCATGATGTTTGTCGTTTCCCAACGCGAGAGCAACACTCTGAGGAGCTGATGGGAGCTGCGCAGCGTAAGTTCCGGGCAGAGTTTGACAAGCAGAGGCAGGCCGTCGCTTTAACGCCTGGGGTCCCTGGGACGGGCCATGGCCATGTCCCAGGAGTCAATTGGAGCTCCAATTGCCCACGCTGCTGGGCAACGAGCACTGCCAGGCCTTTTTGACTCTCGGAGCTAGCAGAAATTATGAGCTGTAGGAATCCGTAGGAAGCAAAAAGCAGTAGACATTTCAAGCATGAGGATCACCGTATGGCCGCTTGAGCTAAGGGATGCATCCATGAGCAGCCAGACGCTCGAGCTGACGCTCTATGTTGAAGTGCCGCATATAGTGAGCCTGAGCTGCAGATGGGAAAGCACTTCTATAAACTGTGCTGCTTTCCTAGCTGCTACTACTACTACTACTACTACTACTACTACCACTATCGCCAGGAATGCGATCCTGCATGCATCCTGGTTTGCACATTGTGGGATTTTGCTTTAGGCCCCCCTGCGACGTGGCACACGTTGCTGGGAGGAATGAAGCAAGTCAGGCATGTGGCATGTGTGCAGCAGCATTGAACCCACCCGATTCGAGTCCCAGACTTGTTTGCCAATTTGTTCAGAGCTGTGCAGTACACCGTGCACGTTTGCTTGAGCATGCGGATTTTCAAGGCAGTATGTTGTGATTTCAGTTCGGCAATGCTTGGTGCAATGCTTGGTGCAATGCTTCCGTGTTCCTAGGCAGTGGTCGGGAATTTTGTGGGCGCCCTGCATTCGCTCTTGCCGAAAATTCAGCTGCTCATGACGCCACATCTTGGCCACCTGGGCAAAAGTTGTGCTGCCCCTTGGTCATCACGTGACCTTCCACAGCCAGGCGGTGCACACGACCGGCAGCACCATATGGACCAATGCCTCCAAGCCTTGCACGAGCAGCGCCAGCCGCAGCTCGGCTGCAGCAGATGGAGACGTAGCGAGCCCTTTCCCCAAAGTCTCGAACGCGGTCAGTATACCTTGCCACACTGAGAATGGCCCAGGTTCTTGGACTCCTGCACGCACGAACAGCCTTTGATGGCTTGTACTGCCCGCACCTACCAGCGACTCATGCAAGGAGCTGGTCCACGGCAAAGTTTCCGGCTTTGCATTCCCTTTGAAGCGTTGTTTGATGAACTACTTGGTAAATATGCAGTCAACATGCACGGTTGTGCCTGAGTGATCAAAATCAATCGTGTGTTTTGAGGGTTTTCCAAGGAACACCTGGACCACCAAGATGATGAGCACACCCGCTGAAGTGAGCACACGCTGCAGTGGCACCCGCACCATCAAAACGGAAAGCACACCCGCTCAAGTGCACGCACGCTGCAGTGCAGTAGCACCCATGCCACCCAAATGAGTAGCACACTCAAGTGCACACACACGCTGTAGCAGCACCCGGACCACCAAAAAGATACGCACACCCGCTCAAGATGCTGCAATAGCACCCGCGTAAAGGCAAGCATGGGGATTTTTGACTTGCTTTGCACGAGCAAGCTGCAGCTTAAAGGCAAAGACAGTTTGGTCAGCTTGCGTAGGACAAAAAGCGCACGCCGTGAAGGAGTCCTAAACACAGGTTTTTGCCTGTGAAAAGTAGAGGGACGTGCACGACCACACGCACGGATTCCAGCTCGTAGGGACATTTATGCGCGGCATGCTGTGAGACCTGTTGTCCCTTGGCGCGCAGCACGTGCAAGTGTTAAGGCTTGCTGACTGACGGAGACGGGTCATGCCGGGATCAGGAGCGCTGTCTCAGCAGTGGTGGCCTCTCATGCACAACGAAGTCGGCACGGTCGGTTCCATCGACCTGGGCTACGACTATGAGCTCTGGCATAGTAATCGGTATCCAGGTGGGGTTGGCTCCTTGGGTCATGCCCTTTCGGGTGTGGCAATTAGGAAATGGGGCTCGGAGGCTGCGCGAGAAACGCAGCGTTTGGTTGCATCATTTTGTTCGCGCGTCCTTTTTATCACAAGGATGAGCTCATGGAAAGCTTGGAGTGCTCTTCCCGGGGGAGCTGCTTGGAGAAGGGCCTGGATGCAGGCCATGGCTCAGAGGACCGGTGAGCTCGATGCACTACACAGCGCGCGTGCTTTGAACGCCCCGTGCAGGACTTGAAAGCAGTGCTTGAGAATAGCTCCACGGATGAAGCTGCGAGATTTGCGGAGTTGCAGTGTTCATTTGCAGGCCTGGAATGTGAGACTTTGCATGCAAATGTGTACAGACAATATATATATATATATACATAATATATATATATATATATATGGCACCCCCTGGGGTACCCAACTTTTGCATCACACAGTCTGATAGAGGCAGCTAGAATCAACTTTTTCCTGATTAAGCTGCTGCTGCCAAAATGCAATTTGTCTGACTTGAACTCTGCACAATATCGTTAGGGCTTTGATGTGATTTGGATTGCTGTCTTAAGCACAGCATGCAGGGTGAGAGTCCCACTGGTTTGAAGATTCAACATTGGAGCCGTGAGAGTCTTGAATCTTTGATCCAGGAGTGCTTGAAAGCGCTTGAAAGCACCCTCTTCTGCTTTACGGCATTGGACCTGAACAACTTGTACGTAAGGTGAACACTCGACATGTTCCCCTTCTTTTGGGGTGTTTGGGCACCACTGGGTGTTCGTTCTTCAGAGCTGGCACCACTGCAATTTAGCACCCGTGTTCAAAGGGAACATGTGTGTCAAGAGTCTAACTCGTCCCTGGTCCACAAAGCACTATGCCGGGCAGTGCTGTGCTCACACCCACCAACATCTGGAATTGTCATGGCCGGGAAACCGTGTTCTTCCCGTGGACTTTTGCTGCTTGGTTCGCCCTTTGCATTTGCATCAAGTCGTCCAGAGACTTGATGGCCTGTTATTGCAAGTTTGCAATACTTATGTGTCTCCCCCTTTTGCATATAGTAAAATACACATGTATATGTCAATATGTCGTATGTATGCGAGTGTGTTTGCAGCTTATGATGTGGTTGCCTGGTCCGCACGCTTTGCAGCAGCCGTCATGGGGCACCTGGTTGGTGGGATTTCGACTGCTGCTGGGTTTAGTGTTTTGCTGCCATTTCTCCAAAAAGTAATGGCTTTGTACTAAAGGTCCTTGCAGGTGGCTCGCTGCGTAATGCCTATGCCGGACGGACGGTGCCATGTTGTCCCGTTGCCTTCAAGCTCCTGTTGTGCCCCATTTGTGCAATCAATATCTTAGAAGGAGGAGCTCATCCTCACCTGATTTGCTTGCCCGCCCGTTTTTGCCATAGGCAATTGTTAGCCGCCTCTGGCCTTTGCGCCGATCCCAGAAATCTCCAAATGTCAAAAAGCAAAGCTCCGCTGCGCTGTGCTTCGGGCACTGCGTTGCAATTTAGTATCTGATTTCAGTTTCTTGCAAGAGCTTGCGCTCCACGGCTGTTGATTCCGACTTTGTGCAAGCTGGTTCCTCAGCAAGTCCTCCTAGTTTTTCATCACTTTAGGAATGCGTTGTGCAGACGGCGGTCGCTACGCGTGAAATTCTTTCGTTTTGCGATTGCCTCGCGATTGCCGCGAGGCAATCGCATTGACACCGAGGAGCTGCAGCTGGGTGGCTCTTGAACATCGCTTGATTGTCGCTTGTCGCGGCCCTGTGTCACTTGCCAGCCGTTTCTGTGCCGGCTGTGGCTTTGCGGCAGGATGCCGAGAAGGGCAAGCTTCCAGTCTTCTCCGACAAGATTTGGGCGGCGACGCTCAAGGCCCACGGGAAGACTATGGAATTCTCTCCAGCAGCCAGCGTGCTGCAAGTCAGAGGAGGTTTCGTCGTTCCGCAGTGGACCTACCATGACATTCCCTCCGAAAGCTGAGATGTGGACTTCGAACCTTGAGTTTTGAGCCCGGCGTGTGAGATATGTAGTTCCCTGCCAAGGAGACGCCGCCGTGCCCGAACATGATGCCCTTTGTTGTGGCATTCTGTGCCGAAAGCCTTCACTGCATGGACGCTGAGCGGGCCGGGCAAGGCAGGGAGGGAGGAGCCATGAAAGGCATGATTTTTATCGCCCCCCCTCCCTCCTGGTTGTGTGTGTGTGTGTGTTCAAATGTTGTGTCCTGGCAGGTTTTGGAAGCGGCGTCTTTGAGGTGGCGCGGGCGCGTGCGAAAGAGCGCATGAAGGAGATCCAGAACATCACGAGAGAATCCACAGTGCCTCGCTTCATTTCATGTAAGCCTGAGCTACGAACCTGAACCACAAAAAGAAAGCAACACGCAAACCTAGTCGCGACAGGTCTGAATTTGAAATCAGGCTTCAATGCATCAAGCTTCAGCATTAGTGACATCTTTAATGTATGTTGGTGAAGTCAGCGAGGAGAAATGGTTTAAACCATACCAAGTTTCTAGTTGTCGTCAGCGAGGAGGTAGTTCAATCAAAAATGGTTGGGGCTGTTTATTCGCGCTGGGCATCACGGCTCACGTGTTTGAGTGCTGAAGAATGGTCGAGCTGTCAGGCACCCGTTGGCAAATATGGGATGACTGAGAGCGACGACTTCAATAGGCACGGGTTCAAGGTAAACAGGCTCAAGACTGGACAGCTCAAAGGCTCAAATCATTATCAGACGAGCTTGCTCCGCTTTCATTTGGCTGTCGAACTTGCGCGAGGCTGAAAGACTGGTGGTGGACAATGATATCAGAGAAAGCTTCACACCTGGACCCTGAGGAAGACGTGTACCAGTGGACGCTTGGTGGCACATGAAGATGGAGTGAGTTGGCAAAAGTTATCCTTGCGGGTCTGCCAGGAACTTACTTTGGCAAGCAGCAAACTTCACCAACAAGGTCCTAGCCTTACCGAGCTTCAAAGCATCGTGCTTTACAATGCGGGGCCCCGTGCTCGGACAGGTGGGACACATGGCGACATGGCCAGCCATCCGCGCGGCTTTGGATGGAGAGGAGACAGAAGCGGCTCGGGGCCCCGTTTCTCGGGCTCGGTTGCATTGTCAGCAGCCCCCAAACTGCGCTGTTTTCCTGGTGCGGGGCCAAGATCGACTGGATCGCTACGAGGGACTACTGGGAGCCCCTTTGCGGCAAAGTTGGCTGCTTGGAAGGCTGTGCTGGGATAAGCAAGGCTGGGTGAGATTAGGCGGCTGAAGCCGGGACATGTGGGCGAGGCGAGTCCTGATGATGTCAGTCATGAAGCTGAATGTCCGCCAGTTAGAGATGAAGGAAAATGGCAGTCCTGCTCTGTGGCAGCAGGGGAGGTGTTAGGAAGGGGCAGATGTAGCGTCAACCTGCACTCGGGCATGACACGGCGAGCAGTCCCAGTAACTGGCAGTGGTATACTTGAATGCCCCCGGCTCGAACCGCCGATGCCGCCGGCCCATCGATTTTGCGATGATTTCCCGTTCTGTGATACTGTGCACATGTCCTAGCACAAGATCATCAGTTTCGCCCAAGTCTTGTCGTGTTTGCAGTCTGGCACGCGCGCGTCAGCGCGGGTTCCCGTGCGTGTGTGCGTGTGCGTGCGTGCGTGCGTGTGCGCGCTTGTGCGTGCGCGCGCCAGCGTGTGTGTCTGTGTGTGCCGAGTTCTAGATTCTCCCTGGAACCAATCGTTTGAATTTCATGCAGGGGGCGCAGGGAGTTTCAGCGAGTCCTGAGCCAACGAAGACGCTCGCTGTTAACTCGTGATATCCAGCCTGATCAGCTGGATGTACCTGCAATTGTGATGTTTGTGAATGTCCTTTTGGTCCCCTCCCTGAACCGCCGTTGCTTCTTTTGTGCCCCTGTTAAAGTAGCGAAAGGGAAGCCAAGTGACGTGCAAGCCGAAAGTTGTACTCGAAAGTTGTACTCGAAAGTTGTACTCGAAGATAAGCAACCTCCTTCGGGAGTTCAAGTGTGATTGCCCCGTCTCGGGGGACCCTCAGATGCTCCCATTGCGTGGCTCCGGGACGGCATTGCCGTTTAATTTGACATTGGCATTGATCACTAGACCAGCGGAACTTCACTTTTAAGCAGAAACGAGGTTTCACTAAAGGGAAGACAGCGTCATTCCTGTTCATGTGCTTGCTTTGTGTTTACTCCATCGTCGTGCCCGTCAACCGCTTGTCCGCCGTCTTGCACTTCGCCCGTTTAGGGATGGCTTCTTCTTCCTGTCGGTCTCTTTTTCGCGCCTTTCGTCTCCCGCGTGCTGGTGTCTCTCCTCTTGGCCCGTTTGGGGATGGCTTCTCCGTCTTCTCGCTGTTTGCCTTTTTCCTCGTCGTCCTCTTCCTGTCTGCCTTTAAGCTTGTGCTCCTCGTTCCCCTCCAGCTGTTCGGCTTGACGTCGGCTTCCCCTTCCGTTGCTTCCTCGCGTACTTGCTCCGGGCCCCTGTGCGGGATTCGACGTCCACTTCTTCGAGATGCGGTTTTTTCCTCCTTGTTTTCTTGGCGGGATGCGTCGCCCTAAATACGCACACTTTCCCTCTTCCTCTTCTTGTTCTTCCTCCTCCTTCTTCCTCCTCTTCTCTCCCGTCCTCTTCTTCTCTCTCTTCCTGCCTGGGCAGGTTGCGGCGCCCTAAATACGCAATCTTGCTCTCTTGCTCTCTTGTTCTCTTTCTCTTTTCTCTGTTCCCTGGTTTTCGGTTTTCTTTGTCTCTTTTCTCTCTCCTTTTCGTTCTCTCTTTTCTTTTCTTTTCTTTTCTTTTCTTTTCTTTTCTTTCTTCTCTCTCTCTCCTTTTCTCTCTTTGCTTTTCCTTTTTCTTCGCGCTACCTCGTGTTCTTCCTCTTCGCCCGTTTCGGGATGGCCGCTTCTTCCTCCCGTTCTTCAACTTAAGGTTTAGGACGTTCTGCGCTGTTTAGGGTTGTTGCCCTTGTCGGAGACCCTCAACTTGGTTCCCTTGTTTTTCTTGTTTCTTGTTTGGGGTTTTTGCCCGCGGATTCCCAACTTGGGGCCTTTCTGTTCTCTCCTTTTTGTTTCCTTGCTCTGTTTCGTTTTTTGTTGGGGTCTTCGCCCCTGCGGGGGCGTGTGTGTGCCGAGTTCCAGATTCTCCCTGGAACCAACCATTTGAATTTCATGCAGGGGGCGCAGGGAGTTTCAGCGAGTCCTGCGCCAACGAAGACGCTCGCTGTTAACTCGTGATATCCAGCCTGATCAGCTGGACGTACCTGCAATTGTGATGTTTGTGAATGTCCTTTTGGTCCCCTCCCTGAACCGCCGTTGCTTCTTTTGTGCCCCTGTTAAAGTAGCGAAAGGGAAGCCAAGTGACGTGCAAGCCGAAAGTTGTACTCGAAAGTTGTACTCGTACTCGAAGATAAGCAACCTCCTTCGGGAGTTCAAGCGTGTGTGTGTGTGGGTGGACGGGTGGCTGGGTGGGTGGGTGGGTTTTGTTTGTTGTTTGTTGGCCTGTTCGGTTTTGCTTGTTTCGTTGTTTCATTGTCTTGCTTGCTTGCTTGCTTGCTGGCTGGCTGGCTGTCTTGCTTGTTTTTTTTTGTCGGTCGATGGGGGGGGGGGTTGGCACAAGGGTTCCGAGCCTCCCTATCAGCATGGGAAACCGTGATTCTTGCAGCTTGAGTTCCGTGTTTCTGAATCGGGCCTGGCAGGCTTGTGTGTTCAGGCAATCATGTCAGTGACAACCATGCCACTTTTGGCCCAAGGGATTGATCCAGGAGTGGCTGGTTGAGCTTTTCTGTCGCAAGAGCGCAGGGAGACACAGCGCTTCACTGAGACTCTGTCCAACGAGGCTACCAGTGAAGTGGGATATCCAGCCAGGCTCACTTGCGACCGAAACCTGACTCACTTGCGACTATATTTGATGTGTTGGTTCGTTGCTGTCCTCATGATTTGATTTTCGCATGTTTGCGCTCGTGTCGCGCTTGGCCTTATAGGTGTGTGTGTGTGTGTGTGTGTTTGTTTGTTTGTTTGTTTGTTTGTTTGTTTGTTTGTTTGGGTGTGTGTTGGGTGCGTGGATTGGTGGGTGGGTGGCTGGGTGGCTGGGTGGCTGGGTGGCTGGGTGGCTGGGTGGCTGGGTGGCTGGGTGGCTGGGTGGGTGGGTGGGTGGGTGGGTGGGTGGGTTTTGCTTGCGTGCGTGTGTGGGTTGGTTGCATGCGTGCGTGCGTGCGCGTATGATGTTGCACTAGGGATTAAGCTTCCTGCTGCTTGCGGCCTGCCCAGCAGCCTGGTTCGGGCCCCCAAGGGAGGTTTGAACTGCAATGGGGCTACCCCAGCAAAACAATCGTTTGGATGGACCAACGTTTAAAACTGTCGAAGGCTGGCCTACCCCAAAGAGATTTGGCTTAAATAAGCACAGCAAATTGCTTGTTTATCATGCCCTTCCCGTGCGCCTCCCCTTCTGGCAGAAGGGTCGGCAAATTTAGTTGGAACAAAGCGCTTGCTTTTCATACTGCAAACAGTGGATTCTGTGCCGCGCTGCCAAAATCTGCATGGCTATTGTGAAGACTGCAGGTGCTTGAGAAGCTGCTCGGCAATTTTACGCGAGTGGTTGCGATGGAGGTGCCATGAGCCTTGTGCTGCCGCCAGCTTTGCATGTGCCGTTTTCTTCAACTAGCATGAGCCTGCGTAAGGCGAAGCCTGCCAGCTGTGCTGAAGAACCTTCGGTCCATCTTCGACACCAAGTTTTGCTCCCCTGGGGCTTTGGGTGGCCTGAACTTTGGCCGCGTGAAGATCACCGTTTCTGGTTTTCCATTTGAGTCAATGCGATGTCAATGCGATGAGGACGGACCAGAACTTGCGCCGTTTGGGCGTGCACGATCAGGCTGGGTTGTTTGGATGGCTCCGGGAGAATGCTCTGTCTCAACCGCGCCTCAGAATCATGAAAGCCAGGGATTGCACTTCCCTATGGCTCGATGTTTGGCAGTATGAATGTACTAGGATGATAGGGCCGCTTTGATTCCAATTGGCTGCTATGCTTGTAGTAGGAAGCAAGTGCAGTATCATGCTTGTTTGAGTACTTCCTCTCACTCACATTAGTCTCTGAGTCTCCGCTGTGGATTCATTCACCGGGCTTTTCTGCCATGTAGAGCGGCAGAAAGACCCTGCGTCATCACTAAACTTCACTGCCCGTTGGTCTTGGGAGCTGCTTGGTCCTTTGTTGGTACGTCAGCATTTATTCTACCGTTCGTTTATCCGCGAGGCAGACATCGGCGTTGCGCATCTCAACTTGCTATTTGGAATAAGATCCCGATATTGTTGTTGGTGCATGAATTCGTCAATGTAAGTCTTTAACTTTGTCGGCCAAGCAGCTGCTTTGGAGGGCTAAGTTACATTTAATTGGTGTGTTTGCGTGAAAGTGTTCCCCAGCAGGTAGTGATCTTTTGCATGAGGTTTTGTTCATGCCTGACAAAGCTGTAAAGGAATAGCAGCATGCAATAAAAGGCTTTGCTCACAGCTTGGCTCAATGTGAAGCTTTTGTGGGTGCTTGATGACCACTTTGTTCTGCCATCGCTTTCATACGAGTCTCATTGAACCACGAGGTTTGTTGGAACACCATGCTCGGGCGCGTAGCGTGATCAGACGCCGGGCTAGCAGCCAGCATGGGCCTGCTATGTGGAAAAAGGTTTAGACTGGCAGAGCTCACAGCATGTGATTTGTGAAGTCATGAAGTTGGCAGGTCTCGCTGACCCTTGCTCACATTGACCGCGATTCAGTGGTGATCAAGATGCTTGGTTGCAGAGGGCATGGTCTTTGCACTCCAGTCACTGGATGGCAGTCGCTTCTTGCCTTGGGAACAGTTTTGAGACACTTTGGCCTCAGATGGTAGGACTTCAGTCTTGCTAATCTGGCATGCAGACTTGCCAAACGATGGTCTAGCATGGCTTGCGCCCCAGGCAGTGGCAGAAATGGTCTGTGCTGAATTTGAAGATCAGAGACAAAAGCAGGACCGAGTTCATTTCAAGCTGGTCTGAGCCGATCATTACAGACGGAGACATGCGCTGATAGGCATGTGCATGGATGATCGTAGGCTGCAGAAGTTCAAGGATCAGTTGGCGGAATCCAGCTGCAACTTCGACGGCATCTCAGGAAAGCCGCCACTGGAGGCGTCAGCGATAGTTCGAGACGTCCCACGAAGTGAGTATCCCTGTCTGCCCGCCCAGTCCAGGGTCATGGCTCGACTTTAGACATTGCTGGGGGGTCTCCCTGTCCATCACGGTGCATGTCCAATACCAAGCCGTTTGCTACTCGCGCAAAAAAGCGAAGCCCGCCAACTGGACGTGTTCAGGCTTTTTGGTCAAAGTTCAGTTCTTCTCCCAATGGGTTCTTTTGGCTTGACCTGCCTGGCTTGCCCGCATCCGACTGACTCCCCCACCTTCATTGCCAAGGCAGCTGCATGTGCTACAACTCCTGCAGCAAATTGAAGGCTTCCGCGTATGTGAGTTGCCACACTGGCTTAAGGACATTCCAGGCGCGTGGGATGGAAGCCGCCGCGCGCTGTTTTGCCGATCTGAAACTGCAGAGGCTGCCAGAGAGAGCGCCCTGGCGACGTTGCATGCCGACGAGGTGATTCTTGACAGAGCGGCTTGGCTATGCATGGAGCTAGGGGGATTCCAGCATTAGTATCTTCTCTTGAGGAAGCACGAAACCGCAGATTCTTGGGTTTCTTGTGTCACTCCTAACTCCTGGACGCAAAATGAGAAAGCGGGAAACATTGTGCCAAACAATGTGTCTTCCGGCACTGATTGCAAAAAGGATTATTGCCGTGTTTGCTAATGACAGGACGCGTCTCTTTTGGTAGATTGTTGCGAGACATGAGGGACGTGTGTCATGTTGAAGTGCAAAGGGCATGGGTGTTTTGCAGAAACATAGTTTCTGCTTAGCTTCTGGACTCCAAGCATCCAACAACATGCGGTCACCAGCAGCAATGCCCTTCTTGCGGACTGCTTGGAGGTCTATTCCCTTGGGGAGAAGCTGCAGGATGCAGATCTGCTCCTTGGCTACCTATGGTTTGGGATCAAGCCGGTTCGGGTTGTTTGGCTCTTCAAGTTGTAAATCTGTTCTGGCTGGCGGCGGCGGTGCTGGTGCTGGCGCTGGCGCTGGCGCTGGCGCTGGTGCTGGTGCTGGTGCTGGTGCTGGTGCTGGTGCTGGTGGTGGTGGTGGTGGTGGTGGTGGTGGTGGTGGTGGTGGTAGTGGTGGTGGTGCAGAAGCCATCACTGGACAACCACGACAAGCAATTCCACCCGTTCAAGAGGTTGTTGCAGCTGCTGCAAGCACCAGGCAGTCGTGTGATGAGATGTTTTTTTTTTTTGGGGGGGGGGGAGTTTTCAGGAGCACATGCTGGTTTGCCCGGGGTCTGAAGCTGCCAAACAGGTCCATCGTGGAGGTGCCTGGCTGGGGCGGTTGCCAGTACAAGCTGGAGATGCAATATCGGCAGAAAGGGCCACCCGGCACAAACTTCAGCAGAGGGCTGTGCGCACGGCGTTTGCTAGTCTCGGGCTAGCTTCATGCATGCATGGGTATCCGAGAGCAACGACTGCTGCTGCTAAACTACAATAGCAGAGGCGTATGCGTTGCCTGACGAAGTGGGACCTGTTGAAAATCGGATGCAGCTGCAAAGGGGGATAGCTACAATAGCATTTGCGGCTGCTTTTGATTGATTCTGAGCGGTGACGGCCAACATGTGCCATGACCCAGAACTGATGCAACGTCTTGACAATTCCGCATTGGTTCGCTGGACTGTTGCATTCTTTGGAATTTGCAAGTCCCAGCGATGCGTTAGCCAATGCCTGTTCTCCAGTGCGTTAGGGATGGCGCAGACTCATGATGAACTTTATAGGGCAGCCTCCTGACCGTGACCACAATGCGCATGGCTCCAATGCGCTTCTGTCAGTACGCAGAGGCTGCAGCGCAAGAGTCACTTTCGACCCCACTGGCACCGGCCTACCAGCGGTCACACGGGTGATCTACGCGTTGCAGAAAGCTCCTGCATGCCTGCTGTATCGGAGGCTGGAGCTACACATTTCAGGTGCTCAGACCAAATGAAGCAAAGCACCGCGTTGTTAATGTCCCTGCGTGCTTGCCATTGCATATAGTAGCAGCGAATGTCGCAGCACAATGCACTGTGTCACACATCTTTTGGCCTTGCAGACCCCAGCAATGACAAGCAATGTGCGCGTCAGCCCGCCTGGTGGTCAACACGTTTCCTCCCCTGGTTCCCTAGTCCCTAGTGTTTTGTTGCACCATATTTTTACCGTTCCGAAATGCATTATTGACGGGAGCTCTTTGAGGTCTGTTTTCACACCCGAAGTGAGCCCAGCCCTGTAAGAATGCCACCAGTGCTGTTAATCATGGCTCTCTCCATCACTGGGGTTGCCCTGCCTCGGCCTAACATGAAAGGTCCGTGTAGGAACCATGTATTATCCTCAGAGCTTCGGTGGCTTGAGGGAGGGTCCAAGCACACAAGCCTGGCTCCTGGCTCCTCTCATCAAACAGGCAGTTCTTTGCGGTTCCAGATGTTTACAGAACCAATGAAGCAAACAAAACAGAAGGACATGCCAAGAACAAGACACTTGCTGGCGGATGGAAGTGCACAGGCTTCTTATATAAAGTGGCAAGCAATATATCCTTTCAGTGTTTCCCGACATAGAGTGAGAGTCCCAAACATACACGGCCCTATGGGTCCTGATGCAATTGGGGACCTTTTTTCCACCCCTAATTCGATTTGCGCTGTGCCCAAGACCACCCCGGATTTGTCCTTTTGTAGAAAGTGGGAGCGCTTTGTGGGTTCAACCCGCCTCAAAAGGAGAACAACACAAAAACGATTCAGGAGCCTTTGAAGTGAGGGTTTGTCCCTGGCACAGCACAAGGCCAGCGACTACCTTTTCGCGCCTGGGCTCAGATCTATTGCTCGCTGTGCAGTGTATGTTACCCTTTTTAAAGCTTCCCAGGTGGCAGCCTCTGAATCTGTACTTTGTGCAGTACTGGGAGCAAGAGTTTGGTAATCACTACCAAGTCTGATCAGTTTGGCCCACAACACATGCCTCGGTTCCCCTTGTCAGTGCCGTTTCCCTTCCGCTCATTGCTGTTGTGCATTCTGAGGAGCAAAAAGAGCAAACTTTCTGGGTACATTTCCCAGTGCCAGCTGCCCGACTTCGTCAAGCTCAGCAAAGGCACGCTGCACTCCACTGCGCCCCCAGCTCCCGGACACGACTTTTGTTTCGCGTGACTCAAGCCGATCCTTTGTTGTGGCTAGCGCTTGCATCTTTTCATCGGCAATCCATTGGCACAGGGATGCTCGAGTCCAACATCATTCTTTGTTCCTGGGGCTTGGTTGGAAAGGGTGCCTAGCTCTGGCACTGGGCTAAGCCTTGCAGGCCTGGGTTGGTTGGTTGGTGCTGGCTGGCTGGCTGGTGCTGGCTGCTGCTGGTTGGTGCTGGCTGGCTGGCTGGCTGGCTGGCTGGCTGGCTGGCTGGTCGGCTGGCTGGCTGGCTGGCTGGCTGGCTGGCTGGCTGGCTGGCTGGTTGTCGGGTCGGTGTGTGGCTCGGTGGGTTGGTGGGTTATGTGCTGGGGGCTTGGTTGGTTGGTTGGTTGGTTGGTTGGTTGGTTGGTTGGTTGGTTGGTTGGTTGGTTGGTTGGTTGGTTGGTTGGTTGGTTGGTTGGTTGGTTGGTTGGGAATGCATTCATGCAGTCATGCAGTCATGCATTCATGCATTCATGCGTTCATTCATGCATGCATTCATGCATTCATGCATTATGCATTCATGCATTTATTCATGCATTCCTTCCTTCCTTCCTTCATTCATTCATTGATTCATTGATTCATTGATTCATTGATTCATTCATTGATTCATTCATTCATTCATTCATTCATTCATTCATTCATTCATTCATTCATTCATTCACTCATTCATTCATTCATTCATTCATTCATTCATTCATTCATTCATTCACTCATTGATTCATTCATGCATTCATGCATTCATGCATTCATGCGTTCATTCATTCATGCGTTCATTCATTCATGCATGCATTCATGCATTCATGCATTCATGCATTCATGCATTTATTCATGCATTCCTTCCTTCCTTCCTTCCTTCCTTCATTCATTCATTCATTCATTCATTGATTCATTGATTCATTGATTCATTGATTCATTGATTCATTGGTTCATTGATTCATTCATTCATTCATTCATTCATTCATTCATTCATTCATTCATTCATTCATTCATTCATTCATTCATTCATTCATTCATTTATTCATTCATTCATTCATTCATTCATTCATTCATTCATTCATTCAAGGGTTGGTTTTCGGGTTTTTGATCGTGGCATGTGATCGCGCACTTTTTCCGTGCCGATGAGGCGGCAAACGACGCTGGGGATGTTAAAGCGATGCCAGGGATGTGCCAAACAAACCAAAGCCATCCCCGAGCCACCCTGCACCTACCTTAAACCGCCCACTGAAACACAGCCAATAGCCAACTCTAAACCCACCCCAAACCAGCCCTAAACCCAGCCTAGACCAACCCCTACCCCAAGCGCAGCCACCCCAAAATTTGCTCTCAGCAGGCCTGGAACCCACCAGAACCCAACCCTGAGCCAACCTGGAACCCATCTTAAACCCAGCTCCAAGCCCAGGTGATGTTGAGGATGCTGAAAACGACATTGAGCATGAGAAAATGATGCCGGGCCTGAACCTACCCTAAACAGAACCTAAACCTACCCCGAACCTACCCTGTGCCCCTCCCGGAAGCCCACCCTAAACCTACCCTAAACTACCTTTAACCCACCCTGAATTGTAGACTGAAATGCTAATGCCAGGGCTACCTGAAATCTGTCCATTTGTGTTGTGTTGTAGAGGCCTGATCTAAATGAAAAGCTCTGGGAACATTGCACCTGTTGCCAGGCGACCTGCGCATCACCATTTGGGAGTCAAAAGGGGACCGCTACCTCGGCCATGGCTGGGACATGATTCTGGAGCCGAACCAGAACTTCGAAGACGTCGATTTAGATGTTTGGAACAAGAACTGGGATGATGCGTCCTCGGACTCCTCGCACTTGGGGTGATGCACTGAGAGGGTCAGGGCGGGCTGCAGTCGCACTCTCCTGGTTCTCAACTCAAGCACGCGGCTTACTTGAGTAGCTTGTCCAGCCTTGACACCTGCTTCGCCTGTGGTATCCACAGCTTGTGCATAGGTAGTGAGAAGTAAAGAAGTTCAGAGCTACCTGCCCCTATTGAAAATGGCCCCTATTGCGAAGCCCATTGAGAATAACGTCCACAAAAATGTTTTAGCGGGATATGATCCCTGCGGTTTGTGGGGTGGGGGGAGGTAGACTTCTCCGCACCTGAACTGCGGGCTTCTAGACCCTCGTGCACAGTGAAGGCTTAGGCCAGATTGCCCCTAAACACGGGACAATGTTGGTGCTTCCCTGCCGCCAATGCCCCTGCAAAGTCTGGAGAAGCTGTGAAGCGCTTAGCTTATATAGAAAACTGCTTTGCGTTGTGTTTGTGTGTGTGTGCGGAGTGGCAGAATGCCCTGCCACCACAATTTCTCAAGCAGGGGGCACGGCAGCTCATTCTCTAGCCGTGCCAACGAAGCTGTGAGAATGAGCTGGAAGGGAGTTTGGACGCCAACTCCTGTACCTGCAAGTGATTCGGAAAGTCCTTTTGGCCCGCTGTTTCCCTCGCTGTGTGTGCTTCTTGTTCTTTCTGGTAACGTGTTCGCTACTAGTCGGAAGCCAAGTGACTGTGAGCCGAAACTCATCGTACTCGAGACTTACCAGTTGTACTCGAGACTCATCAGTTGTACTCGAGACTCATCAGTTGTACTCGAAAGATAGCACCCTCCATCTGGAGTTTCAGTCTTGGGGGACCCTCGGGTGTACCCATCGTGTGATCCCGGGCCGGGTCGCCGGAAAATTTGACCTCAACGTTCTTATCATAGTCCAGCGGAATTTCACTTTTAAGCAGGAACGAGGTTTCACTAAAGGGAAGACAGCCACCAGATCATAGTGACGTCTCACGAGCGCCTGGGCGCCGCTTGCTGGTCTTTTCATGCTTTGCCTTGTGTTGATTTGTACTTGGCATGATCTTGCGTTGTCATGGGATTGAAGCTTGTCAGTCTTAGTCTTTCTCAAGGTTGATTTGTGCCATCACCTTGGTTTGCTGAGTCGTCATGTCTCGACGAGATGATCGTGACAGATATCTTCCCAGCCTCGTAAAGCACACAGACGTGATCACGATGACACCCTGGTCTCGGACGAATTGGATTGGAACAACCTGGTCTCTTGGCAACACAGTTCGGGCTACAACGCATCCAGTGCCTCTCCAATGCCACAGGGCAACTACCAACAGAATCCCTCCTCTTCGCAACTCTTTCAGCATTCTCCGGTCAACTACATGATGCCGTTTCCTCCGGAACCCACACCGGCGAAGATCGTGAAGCCCATGATGCCACCACCTGCCCACGTACCGGTTCATTCCATCCAAACTACGACATCGCCTGGCTACCCAGCTACGCTACCAGTGCAGCCTCAGAAAGCATGGCTTCCTCCACCAGACAAGTGGAAACCTGGTGACGGCATGTTCGACATCAACCAGCTCTACTCCTTCAGCCTGCCCATGACGGTTGCCAACACCCCACACAATAATCTACGTGATATGTCAGGCATGGACGTTCGCTTGGTTCAGGTCATTCACGGTGGCGTCTCTAACTGGCTACTGAGACCATTTGCTCACGGGAGATTCGTGACGTGGGAAGGATTTCGCACCCGCACCGAGGCCCTGCTCTGGAGTACTTGTTCAAAGTTGCTGCGTCGATCGCAGCCGCTCAACCTGCTTACCCTGGAAAAGGGCCTTGCCAATTCGCTCGGACTCAACATTGACGACTTCAATCAGCGCATCAAGGTTCACGATCACTTGGCCAATCTGGTACTTCAGTTTCTTCATCAACATCATTTGACTCTTACACCTTCTGCTCAAGAAGATGACATGCTCAAGAAGTACAACGATCTCCATCGAGTTCACGAGTTGCTCCAGGCACAGTACTCGGCGTCACAGCGAACTTCACCTTCTTCTACGTTGCCCTCTCAGAAAGAAGATGCAGAGCTGGTTACACCGCCTCCGGCCAATCATTCGCAGTCTTCGGCGGCCCTTGACGGCAGGTCGTTTGATGGTCCATCTCAACAGCAACCTCGGATCATACAATCTCTTCACAGACTGTCGTCCCCGCCTTCCAAGCCATCCACACCTCAGTTGCTCACCACGCACAGCACGCCAGAAGACATCATCAAGCACTACACCTGGACCAGTGATCAACCACGTCTATACCTCAAGCAGGCTCCCACTACTACTACCGTGGCATCGCTGGTCAAGTGGGCCAATGACTTGTCCCGTCTCAATGGCAACAAGTCTTTGGAGCCTATGGCGGCCCAGCTCTTGCAGGCGCGTCAACGTTTGCCAAAAGGTGATGCACCTACGTTTGCGGCCATGGCCTCTTTGTGGGGATTGGAACCCGGCTACACCACCAAGCTCTCGGACAAAGCGCTGTGCCCGCCTACTCACCGGGTAAAATGTTTCTGCTTTTCGAGTATCAGCCCGGAGTGGCGATTGCGCGGCAAAGTGATGAGCGGTTGAAAACTTGTCAGTGCTTGACTTGGGACTTGGCTTGTCTTGTGAGTTGCTTGTTTTGTCTTGTCTTGTGAGTTGCTTTGCACTTGTTGACTCTTTAATGCATGTCGCCGCCACCTTGCAGCTACCCTTGGTTCGACATTCATCATGTGGACTGAACTTCGACACAGTGGGATATTTGAGGACGTTGCACAATGGCATTCCTTGGCTACCTTTTTGGACACATTAACGTTTTTCTCTGCGTGTTGGCGGTACTGCTTTCCCGGACTTCAACCACCATCGGTTCCTATGGATGAGTACGAATCAATTCAGCATTGACCTCAGTTGGACCTCATCCTCGAAGTGCTCACCATGGTTCGGATTGCACTTCAAATTCCGATGCATTCCATGTCGCGCTCCCGTCACACTGTGGCCAACAGGTATGAGCTTCACAGATGTCGGATCACTTCGTATCTGCTGATTTGCTTTTTACAGCGACTCATTTCACAAAACCATGGGTACATTCCGCCGTTCTTTGAGGTCCTTCACTTCTACAAGACGTCATTGCTGTGTGAAGTCATGCACTCCACCTTCGCGGATATGAAACACCTTCGATCCCTAAGGGCTCGATTCCCGGACCTGTGTGACTTCATTCAAGATCCTGGACACCATCAACAACCTTGCGTTTACATCAGACTCTCACCATGGCATAGTCCATACTACATTGGTGCTACTGAGCAGGATGTGCTTCGCAGAGAACACTCACGCTGCCGCAAATATCTACAGCTTCTGCGGGGACAGCATGCCTTCTTTGAACCTGCGCTTCGCTATTGGAAGCGATCCAACAACTACTGGCTCTTCTGTGCAATTCCAGTTGAGATCAAACTTCCCCTTTCCCCAGTTTGGGTCCAGGAAAGCAAATGGCAGTACATGCTACGTCCTCATCTAAATGCTCCCTGGGTGCACAGATGTTTTTTTGAGAAGATTGGTTTCTGTGAACATGTGGTTGATTTTCGACGTCATTCGTTGTCCTCACCTACGTCATTATCTCTACGCGCGTTTTCGGCGACGGCTCCATCCTGATCTTCAATCGTCAACTGCGACCTGAGATGTTAGATGACATTCAAGCACACTATTCCACTCTTTATCGGCTGGGATCCAACACTGGTGCGTCGTTTCAAACTATGCGCGATCTTTTATCGGCGGCATTTCCATCCACCCAGCTCTACTATTTCCTGCGACTTTCCACCTTCGTCAACGAGCCTTTTCGCTCCAAACCTCAGAAGCTCCTTGCCCAGGTCATGCGTAAGCGACAACTTCAGGTACCAACTACCATCGAAATTGGAAGGCTCAGCTTGGAACATGGTTGCAGCATTGGGTGGCGTCTCACCGTGAACTCGCAGTGCCACCTTGGGAGACCGGATCTACAACTACCGCAAGTGGCAGCGCAGATGGACTCCCGATACGTCGTTCCCGTGTCGCTGCTTAGACATGGACGACTTCAACACTCATCGCGCGCACACTCATGCAGTGATTTTGGATGAGTTTTCACGCATCAACGCTGATATTGATCCTGACATCATGGCAGCATCCATGAAGGATCAGTATTTTGGTGATGTCGACAAGCTTCAACAACGTTTTGACATGCAGCTTCGCAAACTGGCTCGCAGATGGCAGGTACAAAGATCCAGTTTCTCTATCGATTTTCAACCTGTTCTGACGAAGTTGATCGATGAACATCGCGTTAACGTTCAAGACCGTGCTCACTGGACCTCCGCGTCATTACAACGCACCACTTGTTCCCTGTCATCGTGGGTTGTAACTCCTGCGGATCACTTCCCTTCACGTGCTCATGTGATTTGCCCATCGTTGTTTGCCATGCTGATGCACAAGACCTTTTGCACAGGTGAAGTCTTTTCACTGTGCCGTGAGTCTGCGGCATCTTTTCGCGCCGAAGTTGTCACTATGGTACCTGCTCTCCTACAACACCGTTCTGCTTGGGGACTTCGACTTCACGCACCGTTGCCCACAGCTCGCATCCTCCCCAAACCGACCAAGGACTGGCTGAGAGCGAGACCAATTACTTCTTTCTTTCGCACATGGGCAGCACCCCTCCTCACGGTCTTCCGCGACCTCATCTTTGAGCTCACCAAAGTACCTTTCCAGACGTCCCTGGTCAGCTTTCGGTTCAGGAACTAGTACAGCAGCTTTGGGATGCACTATCGCAGGAAGAACCGACCGAATACATCCAACTGGTATCACAGGACCTCTCCGGTTTCTTCACATCCATACCCACTGAACGTTTTCATCAAGCCCTGCAGGTCTTACTTCATCGCTATGATCAAGTAGTTGGTCTACGCAACTCCTCACAGTGGTCGGTCTATGAGGTGAAGTCGGATCATCGGCGTCGCATGTTCAAAGGCAAGTGGCGCCGTAA